ATGTAGGCAATGTTGGCGTGGAAAGCGCAGGGGCCTGAGAGCAAGCTCTTTGAGTGACACATGGGGGGTATTCTGTTCCCCCCAAAGGGATCATTGAAAAGGTGGGTGAGGGCTTCCCCTCAGCACCCAGGAGGTGGAACGTCCAGAGAGGGGAACATGAAACCAGAGAGGGGAACAAGGGGCTTCAGCCCATCTTCCGAGCCTGATGCTCATGTGGCTGTGCAACACTGCCCTCTGCTGGTGTGGGAGAGACCTCTCAGGCACCACTGTTTCCATCTCTGGTGTGAGTTGGCAGAGCTGGCCCTTAGCTTACTGGTATCCAGTAGAGAGGGGGCCAGTATCCTGAATCCCTGTTTGTTTGCTTTGCCCTGTGTGTTTACAGGTGGCTGATGAACATGGCACTTATATGCATCACCTAGATACTATGCTGGGAGGTGCACTGAAGAGAGCTAATCACAGACTAACCCTAGACTCTGAACTATTCAGCAAGGAGGCTTGGCCTGTGAGGCTGCAGTGTGCTCCATTGCTTTCTGCTGGAGCATGGGGCCTCCTCTCCCTCTACTCCTTAGCTGGCAGGAGCCTAGAGATTTGGGATCGCTGAGGTTTATTATTATAGTGGGCCCGAACCCCAGTGTACTAGGCACTGTACCACACAACATGAAAAGACAGTCCCTGCGCCAAAGAGTTCACATTAAGTTAAGACAAGAGATGACAGGTGGATGCGGATAGACAGATGGGGGAGAACTAGGACACAATGAGACAATACTGGTCAGCACAACTGACAGTGGTCTTGCCACACCAACAGCCCAACCATTGTCAAATTTTATTCTCATTGCCTCTTTCCATGATGCCCATGTGAGCTTGACTGTGGTCCTGGAGGCCCTTCCTCCTGTGCTCTTCTTCTAAGAAGTGGGTCGTAGGACAATTACATCCATTGATCATCACTAGACATGGGGGTTACAGCTAAAAGCAGGATTGTCCACCACTATGAGGCTTTAGGGATGCTCCAGAGTAATACAGATGAGTCCTGCACTGAAGACTGGTAGTTAACATTGGCCACCACCAGTCTGCAGCTCTGTGGGGACAGGCCTGTGGCTCAGCTTAGGTGCCGTGTTCTCTTGAACTCTGCCTTCTGTGTCAGGACCCAAGCAGATAGTCGTGTTCTTCTCTTGCAGAAGCGAGAGGCCTTTTGCCAACTGCTGCAGCTCATGAAGATCCAGCATTCCAACCTGGATGAGCCAGACCTCATTTCTGTGTATGTTGGGACGTGGAACATGGGTAAGGAGTAAGGACAGGTCAGAGACCTCCAGCGTGACCACGGGTTCTTGTCGTGAATCCAGGGATAGTTCTGGAATTGAAATCTCTGCAGATTTCCAAAGGGAGCCATGCCCAGGAGTTCTGAGATTCTTATTGAGTCCTGGTGAGGTGAGAAGGTTGGAGAAGCCCTCGCCCTCAGGCCTTACCTGGGCTTGTCTGCACTATGGTGGGTCAATATCATGCTGCACTTGCCGCACCTTGTATTTTTGCTGAGTAAATAGAGCTGCTGATATATGGTCAGTGGTGGTGGGACATGTCAGCGAACCTCAGAAACAAGCTGTCTTTTGGCTGGACTCAAGAGCTGCCATGGTACTTTCCATCCTTGACAGGGGACCTATTAGACCCCCCCAGGTCCTGGCACAGAATGAGAGGTAACCAAATCCCACTTCATCCAGCGTGGTTCCAATTTATGGACATGATATTCCACCAATGTGCTTGGGTTGGTGCAGGGGTGGGGAGGAAATGAAATGTAGCAATCTGATCCCATCTCTCCTTTCCCTCCAGGCAGCGCTCCACCCCCCAGGTCCATGGCTTCATGGCTGACATCAAGGGGGTTGGGACGGACTCAGGATGAGACCACAGCTGGCATCCCGCATGACATCTATGTTATTGGCACCCAGGAGAACTCGCTGGGGGACCGCGAATGGGTGGAGTTCCTGCGAGCCTCTCTGAAGACCTTGATGTCCATAGATTTCCGAGTGGTATGGGCCCAGGCCACCCCATTCACGCAATGCTGAGGGAGGGATAGTGCCCACGTCCCTAGTATCCCCTGTCCCTGTTGACTCTCCTTACCTTACCTGCCCTCTCTGGCTTTGTAAGGAGTGGTGCCTGCCAGCACTCACTCAGTTAAGAGTCTGTTGGAAAGACTTACCTTCATCCAACTATTATTGGAAGTAGATCGCTCAGCAACAAATTGTCCTTGGGCTGTTACACCCATAACCAACTGCCTAAGATAAAGCCAGAGGGATCCAACACACCACCAGAGCCCTTGACAAGCAGGAAAGATGCCTTCCCCGAGCCTGTTGTTGGGACCTGGTGCTCAGACACTTTGGTGGCTTGTTTGACCCCACCTTTCTGCTTCCTTCACCATCCCCCTTTCCACCTGTTGGCTGAAGGATTGGAGAACAGTTCAGGGACCCACAGATGCTTCCAGTGGAAGATGGGGAAGCCGAGATCATCCTCTCACCTGTGTCCTCTTCTCTCTGTCTCATGGCCCTGGGTTCTCTCTCCCTCTCTCCGCATTGGGAGAGTAATTTCTACAGTTGAATTGAATTCTCTCTTAGCCATCCTCCTTGGTGCCTGCCTAGGCAGGACACGTTCTCTCATCTGTGTGGTGCCATTTTCCAGGCTGTGGCCTCTGCAGCCAGGGCCTTGTGGCACGGATGGCCATGGTCATGCCTAGAGAGCTGGGAAGCAGGCCTGAGAAATCTCCCCACAGCCTGAGCTCAAGCAGGTCTTGCCCACAGCCCAGGAGGGAGCTAATGGAGTCTTGTCCAGGCCAGACCCAGCAAACCCAAACCTGACATTGGGCCCAGGGAGAGGGTGTTTGTACACAAGACTTCAGGGATACCTGGCCCAGCTGCTGGAGGGTTGCTTATTGCAGTGTGATTTCTAGAAGAAGACAGTGTGTTCTCATTCCCCTATTCTTGCTCGGGGTGGCCTCACTCCCTCCCCAATCTCATTGCAGGTTGCCTTACAGTGCCTCTGGAGCATCAAGATTGTGGTGCTGGTGAAACCAGAGCACGAATGCCGGATCAGCCATGTGAACACGTCAAGTGTGAAAACAGGAATTGCAAACACACTAGGTACAGCAGAAGGGGAAAGGCATCTGGGGGCTGGAGTGGGAGGAGAGGAGGGGAGAACACTGGGGGGCAGGGGAGTGCTTGAAGAGCCATGTTGGGGTGGGAGGAGGGACATGTTCCAGGGCCATATCTGGGGAAGGGGCAGAGGAATGGTCTGGGGTCTGTATATGGATCAGGAGGAGGGGAGCTGGGGAGTACTCTGTGGGTTATATCTTGGTCATAGGGGAGTGCTCTGGGCGCCATACCAGGGGGTGAGGAGGTCTCAGGTCCCAGTGGGGATCAGAGCATACGGGGACAGCCAGGTCCTGTGATGAGCCCCCGGCAAGGGGAACACACAGGGCTGAGGGCTGACTGGGCCTGGTGTGTTTCCTCAGGTAACAAAGGGGCTGTGGGCGTCTCCTTCCTTTTCAATGGGACGTCGTTTGGTTTTGTGAACTGCCACCTGGCCTCGGGGAGTGAGAAGACACACAGGTGATTGGCGGGCTGCTTCCTGACCCCCGTGCCTGCATGAGACCCTCAGGGGGCTGGGGATGCCAGCACAGCTGCCCCATAGCCAGTGCATCACCTCCTGCATTGACTAGCCACTTCCTGGTCTTTCCTCTGTCTCAGCCACAGTCAGCCTTCATCTCAGCCACCCTGCCATGGCCAGACAGCCTGGATACTGGGCTGGACATGCTCACCCAACGACTGCTCTCTTCCAACTGGCTGGGGTAGATGTGTGCAGGGCTGGGACTCTGTCCAGCCTACTGCAGGGCTGGGGAGAGGCCAAGGTGTTGGCTTGAAGGAGCTGGGGTTAGTGTCACTTTGATCACTGTCAAATTGGAAAGTGGGGGCTGGGAATCGGTGAGGACAGGGAGAGGAGGCCTTGTGGGGGCAGGTAGGTGTCAGGGTGAGATGGGTCCCAGGTTGATTTGTGGGGCAATGGGATGCTGGGGGGATTTGTGGAGGCAGGTAGGGGTCAGGGTGGGATCTGTGGAGGCAAGTGGGGTTCTGCGGATTTGCAGGGCAATGGAGTCCTGGGGGATTTCCCTGATTTTCTCTGCCTTGTGCCACCCTCATCCGGTGCAGGCGGAACCAGAACTACAGTGACATTCTGCGCTCTCTGGTCCTGGGTGACAAGAGACTCAGCAGCTTTGACCTCACCCTGCGCTTCACCCACCTCTTCTGGTTTGGAGACCTCAATTACCGCCTTGATATGGAGGTCCAGGTAGGACACTGGTCCCATCTGTGCCCAGGGTTGCTGCTGAGCTCCACAAAGCTGCTCTCGAGAATAGGCCACCTATGGGAACACTCTTGGGGCAGGCAGCTCAGTCCCTCCTCCCAGCCCAGCCCCAAAGGCTTGCAGGGGATGGGTGTGGACTGTGAACACGGACTCATTGTCTTCTCTGAGGACTCCTGTGGTGGGATCCCATGCTGGGGGAAGAGTACAGAAAAGCCCTGCAAATCCTAGTGCTTATGGACCTTTCTCTCTTCCCTCTCAGGATATCTTAGCTCATGTGAACAAAAAGGAGTTTGAGGCCCTGCTGGCCGTGGACCAGCTCACCCTGGAGCGGGAGAAGAACAAGGTGTTCCTGCGATTTAGTGAGTGGGATGGGGACAGATGGGGAGCCCACACTGCCCTCCCAGAGCACCGCCTGCCTGTCTGCTGCCTCGCCCCCAGCAAGGCTCCCGTATACCATGCCCCCATCGCCACCTCCTGCACTCACAGTTCAACAATGCTTTAAGGCAGGACAAGCTCTACAACTGCTGCCAAAATGTGCAGGAGAGACAGGAGCCCCCAGGTCTCCAACAGCAGCAGATACAGCACAGCCAGGATGGGGCTTTGCCCTGTGGTTGGGGTTTTACCCCTGCCATGATGCAGATAACAGCTATGGGCCAATGAGCTTCGCTACACCCCCCACACCCAGACACCACAGATTCACCCATCCAAACCATCACTCTGTCCCCTAGCCCAGCCATAAACAGTCTAGTGTCACCTCCCAGCCAGGGCTGTGCTACATAGTGTCTAAATGTGCTAGAAACCTTGATGTGCACAAAAGAAACCCAGCCTCAGGTGGTAAGCTCAGTGAGGTAGTTGGCTCAGCTTAGTCCCCAGGGGATGTTTGTACACAGTTCCCTGTGCTGAGGAGAGGCCCTGGGCTGGATAGTAGAGGGGCTACAGGCCAGGATGGAAGTGCTTTGGCAGAGCACGAGCAGGGATGAAGTTCAGGGCTGAGAGGAAATGGTAGATCTGTGTGTGTCAGTGGAGGAGAAGGAAGTCTTTCTAGTCTGACAGAATAATCTGGCTGGGTTTCTCTGACCCTGCCATCGGCTCTGCGGGCAGTGTCTGCCTGGCGCAGTCTCGCCTCCATGTCTTCCTGTTTGTTCCATTTCCAGGTGAGGAAGACATCTCCTTCCCCCCCACATACCGATACGAACGGGGCTCCCGGGACAGCTATGTCTGGCAGAAGTTCAAAACCACCGGGGTGAGTGTCTGGCCCCGAGAGGAAGGGACTGGGATCTGGCCAGGGCTCCCATGAGGGACTGTCCCAGGTGAGGTGCTCCATGGCACTACCTGGCTGGGAGAGGGAATAGGACTGGGCCAGCAGGCTCAATTCTGTCTTCCAGTTGAGTTGCACTCAGGGTAGGGGTGAAGATACAGTGGCTTTGAGCCACCGCTATTCTCAGGCTGGGTCTCTGAAGCTCCTCTGGCTTGTGCTGGCTGCCTGTGGCCATGAGGGAATAGCTGGACCAAGGAAGTCTAGAGCGAGGCAATGGCAGGGCTGGGGTTAGGGCTCGAGAGCTCCTGGCTCCCAGCCCTGTATTCAGCCCACACTGCCTCATCCTACACTCCCTGCCTCTCTCACACTTTGATCTGTGCTGTCACTGAACAGTGAGCAGCGGGGGACCCCACGCCTTCAGTGACACTGGGATGATCAGTACCCTGCCCTTGGGAACAAACAGGATGGTAACCTCCCTAGTTCAGCTGGGAGGGGAGATGTGGTGGGAGTGTGGGAGGCTGCAGAGAAATCCAGGCAGCTCAAACCAGGCTCAGCCATGCACCTAAAGCTTCTTTGCTCTTGGTTGCAGGTGAGAATCAACGTTCCCTCCTGGTGTGATCGCATCCTATGGAAGTCACGCCCTGAGACTCACGTGCTCTGTAACTCGTATGGTGAGTGTGGAGCCCTGGGGGCTGCTTGGGAGCACAAAGGCCATTAGTCTGGCACCTCCAAGGCCCAGCCTGGAACAGGTGCATGGAACAGTGGGTTTCTGTGGCAGACGGGGCTCCCTCTTCGGTGTTTCAGGCTGCACTGATGACATTGTGACCAGTGACCACTCGCCCGTCTTTGCCACGTTTGAGGTGGGAGTGACATCTCAGTTCGTGCCTAGGAAAGGTAAGGAGGCTACCCCTGTTGGCCACTGGACAGGGTTGGGAGGGCCTGCTCCCCTGGTGGATCTAGGGCAGGAGTGCTGCAGTCCTAGCCCCGTATGTGCTGAGTAGGTTCTGCCATCACTTTCAAACAGCAGTGTTCTCAGGGCCAACACATGTTGACGCAGGGCTACCAGCCAGCAGTGCTGGTTAGCATTGTTAGTGGGGAGATGAACAGATCAGTCTTTGCCTGGGGAATAGGATCCAGGGAACTCATTTTGCCGACCCCGCAGACAGACCTGAGCTATGACTGACCCCTCCCTGCTACCTTTGGGGTAGTAACAATCTGACACCCTGCCCAGGTCCTCAAGGGGTCATATCAGCCAGCACGAGAACAGCCCATCTGAGGGGTCAGATCTGGCGACAGGGTGGGGCCCCTTCAGCATACACTGATTGGCCATTCTGTGCTGGCAGCTCCTGGCTCCAGCCCCGAGTCCCTGGCCTGCATCGAGTGGGACAGCATCGAGGTGATTGTGAAAACAGCCAGCCGCAGCAAGTGCTACATTGAGTTCCATTCCTACTGCCTGGAAGGTGAGAGCTGCCTGGGCGTCTCTACTGGCCACATGCCAAGCCTGTCCAGCACCTGGAAGGGAGACCAACAAGGAAAACCTAGTGCTGCAGGGAGCAGCACAGGTGACTTTCCTCACCGAGTCCGTGCTGACCCCAATGCCCCAGTGCAGTGCTAAGGGGCGCTGTGCTGCAGAGGGCTCCTCGGAAGGGGGTGCTGTCCCCAGAATCAGTACTGAGCTCAGGGCCCAGGCTGCTGTTTTTCAAGTGAGATGGAAAGCCAAGCTTCTGGCCTTTTGTGCTCATTGCATATCCCAGGACATTTTGTGTAAGGATTGAGGTGTATCGCTGGTGTCACACTTGGGTTAGATTGTGACAACCTCTCGTTTCACTAGGATTAGGCCTCTTCTAAACTTCCTGTCCTAAATGGTTGTGCACTGTTGCTGGGTGTGGTATAAGCAGCTGCTACATCTCACCTCAGAGGTGGCTGCATTTCAGCAGTGGGTGATGTGATCTCCGTGCAGTCTGTTCATGTGTTGGGATTCTTTTTCTGGGGGCAATGGGGCTGGCAGCTCTATCTCAATGGGAGGGAGGAATAGCTCAGTGGTTTGAGCATTGGCCTGCTAAACCCAGGGTTAGGAGTTCAATCCTTGAGGGGGCCACTTAGGGATCTCGGGCAAAATCAGTACTTGGTCCTGCTAGTGAAGGCAGGGGGCTGGACTCGATGACCTTGCAAGGTCCCTTCCAGTTCTAGGAGATAGGATATCTCCATTAATTTAATGACAAACAACTGGGATTTGTCCTGGGTTGAGTCCACCCCCCTTCCCCATCGCAATGTGGTTGGTGCCTAGGAGAGGTTGGAGCTGGCAGGGAAGAGGAGGGAGGCTCGTACCCAGGTGGAGAGAGAGGTGGGTAAGTTGGCAGCAGGCAGGGCCGGCTTTAGGAAGTGTGGGGCCCGATTCAAACAGTTTCGACAGGGCCCCGGCAGGGATGACTAAAAAAAAAAAAAACACATAAAAAAACACGTGGGGCTTGTACTCACCAGGCGGCGCTCCTAGTCTTTGGTGATGGGTCCTTCACTCGCTCCGGGTCTTTGGCGGCAGTGAAGGACGTGCTGCCGAAGATGCGGAGCAAGTGAAGGACCCGCCACCGGGTGAGTAAAAATTAAAAAGGAGCCTCTAGCCAGGGAAGGGATTCTCAGCCACTTGCCCCACCCC